TATATACTGTGCATGATGTGCTGTGGTACAAAATACCCCTTTGGCTAGTTTGGGTCAGGTGTCCTGTCTCTGCTTCCTCCTGACTTCTTGTGCCCCTCCTCACTGACAGAACATGAGAGTCCTTAATCAGGGTAAGCGCTACTGAGCAACAACTGAAAACATTGGTGTGTTATCAGCACCGTTCTCACACTGAAGCTAAAACACAGCACTGTACCAGCTACTAGGAAGAAAAATAACAGTTACAGCTGAAACCAGGATACTGATGCTGCTACTGGGGCAGCACAGTGCAGATCAGCTGATGGTGCCCAAGAGTGGATAGTTCTTCCTGCACTGGGAAGAGCTGCCCAGCAGCAGTTGTGTGCCAGAAAGCACAGGCAAAAGGATGTTTCGGAAATGGTCACTGCGCAGGAAGCTGTGACCCCAGCTCAGCTTTACAGTAAAAAATGCAGGAGAGAGCGAGGACCAGAAAATGCTGGGGGGAAAGAGCAGGTCTGTACTGTCAGTCTGTGCTGTGTGCCAGGCGCTGAGCACAAGGTGGAGCTAGGAGGTGGAATGCTGGCCAGGGGAGTGCACAGAATCGCTTGACCCGGGTTCATCATGTTACACTACCTTTAACACCAGGCAGACCAAATCCCTCCTTGGTCACACCACTGAGCCACCACCAGCACTGTTGTTGCTGAAGCTGTCTTTTCTGCCCATAGGTGAACAGGAAGGAGGTGGCTGGAACAGCATGGAAGTCCACAGTGTCATTTCCTTGCTTATGAATCCCCCCTTTGTTTTCTAAGCTTCCTTCATATGTCATCTGAGTGGTGTAGACACTTTCATACATACTGTAACCCATAGTATATTGAATGGCTGATAATAAGACAGATGACATCTGTTTAGATCACATAGTAGATAGGATTGATGCTTCTAAACACTCACAAGCTACAGCTTAGTTCTCTGCTATCTGAACACATTGGCCCTTGTACATATGGTGGCAGTCAGCTCAAGACTCAGCACTTCCACAGCTTGAGAAAGATGGAAACTAGATATCCAAGTGACCATGGCAAAGAATATGCACCATTCCCTTCACTGATGCAGACTGGCAGTAAAAGCCACAAGCAACCATGTGCTCAGTCTTGTGAAGGACCTCCTGCAGGAAGCAGCAGTGCTACAGCACTGATTTTGCCAAGACAGGGGTTCTGCTCCACAGAAAATGGATACGCTCATTCCAGCTTGCAGAGGTGAAAAAGGAGCACACTCGTTTTTATACTGGCAGAGTTTTCGATTGCAAATTTCTTTTCGAGTGAGAAAAGGACCTAACTTCTTACTTACCCACACATCACCTACAAAGCCTACCATGTGGCACTGCAGAACTACCCCTGGTAGAAGGGCAGGGGAGTGGGATGCCCTGGGCCCTAATATCAGCAGAAAGCACCAGGGCTCACAGGACCTGCAGACATGAGCAGCACGGGGCTCTACGCACAGGCTCACAGGCATTAGATTCTCCTTATTTGCAGAGGGTCAGCTGGATCTTGTGACCTGTGTAAATAACAAAGCTTTGGAAAGAAACTCAAGAGGCACCTTATGTTCTTCATTTCAGGGCCATAGTTCTGGATGGAGGGAAAAGAAATAAACTTAGAAATCAAAACTCGCTTCACTCTTGAGAGTCTCAAAGTCCCCTGAAAGGGAAAGACAAAAGTGACTGACGCAGCAAGTCCCACCAAGTTATTTAACTGGTACTGTGGGAGTTGATAGAATTATTTATTCCCAACTCATAAACCCACATGCTGCCTCTTTCCTCCTGCCAATTAACAATATTACTTAGCACTAATAGACTGCTTTCATTTTCAAGGGGCTTAAGAACACAAATTAATCACCTCAACATGTCTGAAGGGAACAGATGGCAATGCAGTATTAACATAGCAATTTCACAGTTGGAGCAGCTCCCCAGGGAGGGGGCTACAGCAGTGTCTGGGGGGCACCTGGCCCTGCTCCCTGTTTGCAGTCAGGGTTCCTGGGTCTCACCTCTGCACCAAGATTCTGCTTTATCCCAATCTCACCACACATTAATTTTCCTAAGCAAAGCTGTATATTTTTCTTATTCCATCTTTAAGAGAGTGTGACATCTTTCCAGAAGGCTTCTTATCTCAGCATGTCTCCAGACAGGTCATTACTGCTTTGGATTTAAAAGACTAAATGTCTATCCAATAATGCAATTAGTCCAGCTTGCCACTGTTTCTTACTGGCCATAAGCAGAGAAGTGACCAGGGAGAAACACATTCCCTTGTCCATACAGTGGAGATGCTTTTTTACCCTGGAACACCTTTGGTTACAGTTGGGTACAGAACAGCAGAGTGTGTTTTCCACCCCAGTCACTCCTGTCCCAGAGACCTATGGGCATGGAGCAGCGTTGCTCCATGGGGCCTTTTGGCTCAGCTGCACAACACACCATTTCTTAAGCTGCATGTAGAAAAATGAGCTTACTCTAGAGCAGGGGTTTCTATAGCAAAACTTGCATATGAAAGGTGAAATCTGTGGCCATCCTTAGCAGAACCAGCTCAGGATCCAGGCTATAGCAACTAAAACATGCATTAAGCCAAAGGCAACTGGTCTGCAAACACTGCAGACTGAACCAGGGGTGGCAGAGAGCCTACAGCACCCCTGTCATGGGGCTGCCAGCTTCGGAGAGCCCCTCAGCTGCACACCTCACCCCTGCTGCTGTCTCCTCATCGCCCTGGGGCTGCAGACACCACTGGGAAGTTTGTGATGGGGGCATCCACGTTTCTGAACCTGGAATGAATTCGGATAGGTGGCCTCCCACCTGCTTAATGCAGCCATCAAGCACCCTGCCACAAACACAACTCCAGAAAGCCGTTTCTCAGAGCATACTGACATTTTCAGGAGAAGACCAAACAAACACAATGATTATAAAACTAACTGATATGACACTGGCCAGGCAACTTTTCAGTCTTTTTTTTCTTAAAGAATCCACCTACCTATGGAAGGCTTTTATTTACAACACTGAGATACTATCCCCTATCAGTATTTAACCCTGCAGTCAGAGGGTATCTCAAAGTAAAACTGTGCAATCATAATAAAGTCAGTCAATGTCAAATGTCTGACAGGTTTTGGCCTCTCCCCATCTTCCTCCCCCCCCCCCCCTTTTTTTAGACACCCATCATATAAGTGAAACAAGTTATTTTATCCATGTAGCTAATATTCACGAGTATTTTTTCCAGCTCTCCATTAATACACCTTGTATTTGAATCCTTTCCAAAAGCATAGAAAATCCTCAAACACGAACACTATTTGCATTACCAGCAGCAACTCCAATGAGTATTCTAAAGACTCACAATGCCTGTAATGAGTGAACATCTATTTTCTCTATTAGTAAACCACTGGTGTCCTTTCTCCTTGCTTGTAATTTATTTCCCTCACCCAGGAATGATAATCAGTGTTTAGTGCAAATCCATACCAATGCATAAACCATAAGCAATTCGCATCAGAGTGGTATGAAATCTAACACTTGTTCCAGCTTTTCTAGTACACAACAGCCAAAGCACCCAACAGACTTTGCCATATTGTTCCAGCCCCTTCTGCAAACTCTCTTTCCGAGCAGTTTGATACCAGTCCCATTTTATCATCTTCTTAGAGCTGGGGGCTTTATTTTGGAGGGGTGCTTGGTACGGCAGGGATGGGAAGGAGAATCAAGATTATTCCACATGTCAAATAGCTTAAAAGCATGGATTATGCTGGTCATGGGAGCAAGGTACACTTGCTGTTTTAAAGCTTTAGTTTGACTGTTCAAACCTTTAATTCTCTTGCACAGCCGAGAACAAGCTAACAGACAACACAAGGTTTTAGGCCCTTATACTGCTTAGCACTCGTAAAGTGTAATGTTTAAAAAAAGGAACAAATCAATGTTTGGTACTATTTATGACACTCCAGACCATAAAATAATCCCCTATAGAAATGGTTTAGATAAATGCTAAATTAACATCAGAAATGCCTTTTTTTTCAGTTACTTCTTCTCTCCCAATACAGCTTTAATAAAAGGAACTTTAACATCTAGGCTCATTATCAAAACTTGGATACTTAAAGCTGTCAAGGCATCCCAAATAAGGCATCATATTCCAGTGGTTTCAGGCTTGGTTTGCATAAAACTCATACTGAATTCAGACTTTGTTGAGGCCAAAGCCCCAGGGCCTGAACAAAGCTTCCTGAAATCACAGTGAGTTTCACAGGAGCCATCTTTGTTTAATTCCACTTTGTCCAGGATTAACATTTGATCTTGAACTCCTCTACATTACTGAACCATGCACCACAGCACATTCCAGATAGCAGGTACTACATTCAGGGATTTTCTAGATGAAATTTTAAAGCTGTCCTGGTCACCAGGGCCTCCTGTCCACATACAAAGTTCAGCTGAACATTATGTAGACAGCCTCCTAACTTACTGGAATGAAAAACAACTCGACAAAAGCACACACATTTAAAGAAGGAATGGGTAATTCCACAGCAGTAAGTTATCTGACACTGCAGGTTTTTCTTTTGAGACAGAAATGAGTAATATTCCTCTCCCTGCATCAAAATGAGTAATGTTCCTCTCTCTGCATCAAAAAACATTCCTGGTTTTCTGAAGAATCTCAGACATCGACCAAATGCCACAACACTGGAAACAAGTCTCAACTTCCTTGGCAAACTGCTGACTTCGAACAGGCCCTGCACTACAGCTGCACTACAGTATCATAAAAGGCTTCTCACTGGGAAACTGTGTGCAAAGTTCGTTTGGGGAAAAAAAGAAAGATTTAAGCTGCCCATATGACCAAGGTATTGGGAACAAATAACCTTAGAGCTGTACCGTGGTGAAGAAACGGGGCCTCAGTTTCAGCAGATGCTTGACATCAGGCCAGACAGGGAAAACAAGATGAGCAAAGGTTACATGCAAACAGTCACCTGTGGTTTATGCAACAACAAAACAACCACTGCTCAGGACAGAGACACATAAAAAGAACTTACTGGAAATTACTTTTAATATAGGCAAACCAAGACTGCTTATGATTTGTAGGGTATGATAGTGTGACAGACTAATCAGAACAGCTTTTGTTTCATGTCTCTAAAACAAGCATCCAGGAAGTAATTCACATTACATGGGTCATCTTTGGTAATACTGTACATTGTGTCGATCACTTGGTAAACATCAGTTCTTAGTGTCATTCATCATAACTACAAACTAATTTGAGAGTTGCAGGAGGATCCTCCAACTGTACACCAGCTTGCAAAGGGAAGAGTTCAGACTAGCAATACAGAAATTACTTCACAGAGTTACGTAGCAAAAGTTACAATTCTTCGTCATAAAGCATTACACTAGTTTGTCATTTTGTCTACAGTTAAAGTGGGCTTATCCTCAGCACTATTACAGATTAACAACAAAGTAGCTCCTGAAACAAACTGGGGGAGTAGGATTGAAAGCAAAGAACTTTGATGAAAGCATAATTTTCTAACTTTGGTTTCTAACTCTAAATTATTAAAATACAGAAAAAAGTCATCATTATTTTAAAAAAGATGCATCATTTAGAAAAGAAGTCTCATTCCTTACAAAATGATTTAAAATTAACATAGAAGAATAAAACATTGCTACAGTACAGTTAAGAGCATTCCGATGGCGTGATGTAGGTACATCTGTATGTCCTCTGTTCCATGGCACAACCATGGGGTTTAACTTGCTTTGATGTGTATTTGACGGTCACTGAACTTTTCTCACTTATCTTGATGTGGGTTGTCCACATGTACTGTGTTAACACTTGACACAGCATTTATTTACAGTTTAAAAGCAGCACAGCTGTCCCACATCCTACAGCTGTGCTCACTCCACTGTGGTACTGGAACGAGCACAACAGCTCGGGTATCTCAGGGAATGTATCATTGTTCTGAATTGCCTTTTTTTCCCTGTTTTATCAGAAGGCGGCTCCTCATTGCTTTTCTCAGACAGCTGTGCAGGCTCTGTTTGGAATTGTTCTATTTGAATCTCAAGATGTTTTTGAATGGCTAACCCAAGGACTTCGGGATCCACAGATGCCCCATATACTTCCCACGTCATTCCTTCATCATCCCATCTCACTTCACGCACTGGAGATTTGGGGGCCTCCATGCCTTGCTCTAGGTTCACCTCTGGGAACACATGTGAGTGGCTGTCTGCTGCAGCTGCTGGGCTTGTTGCCACAGATTTGCATTCCATGACTGGAAGAGTTTGTACCTCGGCATCTCTACACTCAAGAGCTGCTTTCAGTCCTTTGGTTAAATCATTCATAGAAGTCATAGTCCACATATCCTTTGTTGTCATTACCATGTTTGCACCCTGCTGGCTACTAAGGGCAACACAGGCAGCATTTGTTTCTGGAGGAACCTTCTGCTGAGTACAGTGTTGAGCATGTTGCAGTTGTTCTCCAGGAATGCTACAGCACTTCAGGACTCTTTTGGCATCCAGGCCTGATTCACTTACTGAAGACACCAGCTTAGGGTATGTCAGAATGTCCGAAGTAGAAAAGGAATGAAAATAGCCAGGTGCTGCCTGCTCTTTTCCTGACTCACTAACTGAACATACCAACTGCGGAACAAGTTGTATAGATGGTATAGGCAAAGAATGGCAATAGGCAGGGATGGTGGCATCTGCCTTCATACAAGGGTCCTTTCTTATATTACAGGGTCCTGCAGAATTGTTATGAATTGTCATCACCATGGGGGAGTATGGAGAGTTTGGAATATTACTGTAAATCAGACCACCATGAATAATCCCAGTGGCTTGATTGAACATTGTCCTGTTTGAGAAACCATTTCCAGGCACGTGGGGTCCTAGGACTGCAGTGTGAAATGTTCCAGGATCTGTGTAAACAGTAGTGTTACGTGCCATACCACTGCTGTCAAAGCTATTCGTGGGTACTTGCTGGTCTCTGGGTAGAGCTGGAGTCACAAGGTTTTGATAGCAAGGTACATTTTCATTTGTTTCTGATTCATATCTCTGTGCTTGGAAAGACATCCTAGCCACTGGTGGACCATGCCTGCAGCTAGAAGAGCTTAGGCTGGAGTAAGTAGCACTGGTTTCTATGTGAGTGACAGAAGTCTGGTGTTTGCAACTGCAGGTCAGGTCTGAGTGGCTTCTCTGAAGGGCAGTTCCCGGTTCTTCCATTTTACACATGCTTTGCTGATGGACAACGCAGGCTGAGGAAATATTCTCAGCAGTGCTGCTCTTTACATACATTTTAGTGTCCCCCACTTCCCAGGATGCTGGGGACTGTTCAGTGATAAGAAAATGATTTGTAGTCTTAGTTTTGCTCTGTGAATTCTCATTGGCTAACTGGTCGCTTCTGGTTTGGACCACTGATCCAAGTCCCACCATCCGAGGCTGTGAAGACCATCCAGGACTCTGCACACTCCTTGCATCACTCTTGTTTCCCAGAGTATGGCAGATGGTGCTACTATGGCTTTTCTTCAGCTCCTGCTTGTTGCTTTGTCTTTCCTCTAAACTTGATCGCCCAGTACAGGCCAGACTCGAGGAGCTCTTTGACAGGGGGTAACTGTTGACATTCAAGAGACCATGACAAGTAGAACTCAGTGAGTCCTGGTAGGAATTAGTGTGGAGCTGATGGCTGTCAGCTGACATGGCAAAGGGGAGAGATCTGCAAGAACTGGTAGAGAAGAAAAGGGAGAACTTCAGTAAAACATAAATGCACTGAAAACTGTAAGCTCTATTGACCTCCTGCCTGGGCTTCTTGCTATTCACAGTTCACAAGTACTTCTAAAAAAGCAGTCTCTCAGTACTACAGTCTCTGTGTACTCAGACCAGTCAGTTTCCATTTTCAGTTTCCACAATGGGTTTTCCCTGGATTAGATTCAGAATTATTGAAATTCTGGGGGGTTTTCATTTCATAAAACACAAAGTTGTTAACATTCACATTAGCACTTCCACACTTAAGAGAAGCTGTAACTGAAGATTTTTAATTTGACCAGATTTAGTGATCCATTTTTGTTGATCAAATCAAATCTTCCATTGTTTGACTACACACATTCCCTTGCTGTCACAGAGGTTGTGCAACATTTGTATAACTAAGTTATTTTAATATGCTCATATATCTATATCTATCAACACATACACATATAACTCTTTCCTAAAAGAACCCTTTCTGTTGAACAGAAAAATGTAAGCATTTATTGATCGCTTCCAGCTCAAGTACTACTGGATATTTTGTTGTGCAGTAAGTGGAAGCCACAATTCCTCGTTTTAGAGAGCTTTCCTCAGGTGCATTTTGCCTCCCTAGCAGGACTCCTACAGAAACCTTCACAGTTTCTTGTGAACCGGATCACTAAACTAGAAATGAATGTGTGGAGCTGGAAAGGTGTGTACATGTGGACAAAAGCACTCTGTAAACAGGAGTGTTCACTCATAACACCAAGAGATCAGTGACTGCAAGGGCTCACATCCAAACCTATGAGTCAGAAGCTTTTAATATGTGATACTTTTAATATGATGCTTACAGGCTCAAGGAGTCACCTACCCATGTAACCAATAAAGAGCATGCCTTGTACTCCATCCACAAACCAAGCAGCTCTACTGATGAGCCTTACAGTTATCAATGCATACACTTGTAATTCCATTCTCGTTGCTAACTTTGGCAAGCCAATAGTTCAGGTTGCAATTTTCCTATCACCTAAAATCCATTTTTGTTGACTGTGTTCCATAATGAAACTAAATTGAGCAAGACAATGGAAAAACAACAATATGTGCAATCACTTCTTTGAGAAGCTTCTCACTGTGTGCTGTCTACTAGGGACTTGGTATTGGCAGAAATATCCTCTAGCATTAGAGTTTGCAGAAAAGGGCAGTTTCTCCTCTTTCATATGTGCCGATTCAATTAGGAGTTAACTCATTACAGACTCCTTACCGAGCCTGCTCTGTAAACCACGCAGCCTCTCTGGCCCATAGGACTCCACTATGGTGGCATCTAAGGACAACACAAAAGCACCTTTTCTTCCAGGAATGGAATTTCAGATTCCTGGGTGAGAGGCACCGCTCAGTGCAGCTGCAGTCAAAAGCAACCACTTTTTGCGATACATTTCTGCATGTTTTTCATAAGCCCTTATAAAATCTCACTCAACATTTTGAAGAGAAGCAAGAACTGGGAAAGTGACAGTTTTAAAACATTTCACTCATCTCCTCCAGTGTTATCTATCCTGCAGGCACTTACACGTATGGGTATAGTCTGCCACACAGGAGTCAGTAGGATTAAACACCAGAGCATAGCTGTCTGCAAGGTGAAGATCTTAAATTTAATCTCTTTAGAAGATAATACCTACAAAGGCTCTCACAGATTGGGATGAAACAACATTTACTAATGGAAATCCTCAGTCACAAATACTGAGTCTCAGCTGAAAGGAAGCTTCAAACAGATGGCATAAGGCTGCAGAAACTTTGAAGAGCTCTCTCACAAAGTTTACAAGATTCAAATATGTGTGTATACACAGACACCAATGCCTCTATTTGCTTTCTTTATGTAGCATTGCTGCAGAAACCTCTGTAACTGGAAGAAGTGATGCAATTTGAGATTGATCCATCACCTGAATGTGAAGAAACATATTCAGATACATGACACAGTCCAAATATGATGACATAACAGAAAACAACTTTCCTTGTAATGTTTGCAATGAAACCTTCAAAGAGAATTCTGAAGAGATTTTTTTTGCCCCACTCACATAGACTCAACTGCAGCTGAAATCAAGACCGAACATGGGCCAATGCCACATGTATATTACACATGTACAAATACATATATAACATTGTAACTAGCAACTATGAACAGCATTTGAACATCTTTACTCAGAGAGACCAGTGTTCCATGCTAGCATTAATTGTAACAATTACCCTGTGACTTCTGGGCTTTAAAAACAATGGGAACAATTACCAGTTAGGTAAAACAGCATCTCACCTGACACTTTAGGACATAGTTAAAGATGGGGGGAAGTAAAAAAACACCAACAAAGCCCCATTCAAACAAGATGAATCAGCTTCCTTCAGAATAATGCACTTTCCTATTGTGTTGAAATCCAAAGTTACATTTTCCCAGACACCCTGAACATTTCCCCCTGTACAGGCCACCTGTTGCTTTCCTTTTCCATTCCCTGTTCCTTCTACCCACTCTGGAAAGACCTATGAGCTCTTTCACCACCAGCCCATTATGCCCACGTGGCAGAGGCAGGATTCTGAGCTGGACTTGTGCACGTGGAGCTCTGCATGGAGAGGGATGCCTGCAGAACAAACTGACGTCCGGTAGACCTGACCATTCCTCACCTCTGCTGCAGTCAAATGTCACCACGGCATTTCACAGTAACGTAAGTGAGCACACAGGTCTGCCACACACTGCATCAGCCTGTTGGTTGGTTGGCTGGTCGGATGGTTGCTTTTAAACTGGTTCAGCTCCCACTCACTACATCAAATCATCAGTCCAGCCACACCAATCAGTAATGTCAGCACAGGGAGGAAACAGAAGACCACTCCCCTCTGCAGAGCCATAAATTCAGTAGTGCGCATAAACCCAGAGCAAACCTGCACACACAGTGCCTTTCTTCCTAAAACTTTGGAAATGGCATGTAATCCCATACTCACCTTCCCAAACTCTGCAATGTTGGCACTGATTCCCCAAGGTACACACAAAATCTTACACACAGACACCCCTACAGAAAAGACACGACACTGCATGAACACATGCTAAAAGTGCTGTACTTCCTACATGTGCTCATGCAGACTGCATCCAGCTGATGACTTCTGAGAAGGGGCAGAAAGCAGAAGTGTCTGGATGGTTATACCAATACATATATACCACAGGGGGCCTGGGGTCAGGTACTGAGAATGGTGTGACAAGCTTCTTAAGAAACAACCAAAAAGCCCTCAACCCAGCCACAAGACATGGAACCTGCCTGATTTCACAGCTGTGCAATGCCATTGTGGTTGGTGAATCAGCTAATTAGGAACAGATGACCCATGTGAAACCTGGATACAATAAACACAGCTGACTCAGTTGGTACTTACGGGCCTGAAACAACTTATTTTCTCATGTTGGGGGGGGAGAAGACTACTTTGCTTAAACTTTGCTTTTAAAAAGTAAAGACCTAGTTTATAGGAAAGTAATTTGAGTATTTTATAAAAAAATAAAAATAAAAAATTAAAAATATTCAATTTTTTAAAAAATATTCAAATGGGTATTTTATTCAAAAATACCCATTGTAGATTTTGAGTTGATCTGAGAGGTTTTCATTTGGAAATCCAAAGGAAATCTACACCTGAATACATGAACAGGAAAGCATGAACTTTGAGGCAGATACCCTGCTACGAATATATAGAAAACTGTTAGTCAAGCAGAGAAAGGATTAGGATAGAAATGGAATTAACATCCACTATTTTTGGCTTAGCTTCAGATAGCTTATGAGGGGATCTAGGCTGCTTTCACTAATTCCACTGAACTACTTTAAAGCAACAAATGTGTATTTTGCTATGACTTATGATTAAAGTTGCGACCTATTTAATGCAGTAGTAAATTTAGTCTCAAAATATTAAATGTCGTGTGTTGTCAACTGAAAGACATTCACTGTTATTAATGATATTAATAACAGTGTTATTAATGATGATTCCAAAATTCTTCAGGATTTTTCTTTTCTATGCATGTACTTCCGATTACAATTTTGGCAACAAACACAAACGGATATCAAATGGAATAATTCCTTGCAATCATATCAATATACAGAGCAAGTTTTCATGTAATATAACAATACCACATGATATTTCAGTATGATCGCACTTAGCTCCTCCTTTATGTGTTTGATAGTGATTGCTTTCTTCCCTGCATAGCCAGGCTTCAAAAGAGTGGCATGATAAACATGACAGTCACAAAAGAACTGGTAGGTTTCATAATGAGGATAGTAATATGGGATATTAACATAAGACAATGTGTTAATAACAGAATATGTACAGCCAAGCTTGCATTTCCTCCAAGTAAAGAAAATACAAAATGCCATAAAAGTAACAAAGCTGCTGCATCCTTTATCCCAGGAAAGGACTTTTTAAGTACTAATTCAAGCAAAAATCTGCACCATAACATAGCAAGTCACACTACACCACATGTGCTCTTTTGTAAGCAGTCTGTACCTACAGTAACTAAACACATTGTGAATACCTAACACATTAAATGGTACAAATTAGTTGCAGAATTTGGGAAGAGACAAAGAGAAATTGCATTTAAAATTTAATACTATTTACTAGAAAAATACATGCAATGCCAGAGACTTACTTTTCTAAGTAAGTTTTACAGTTTATTTTTGCTTCATATAACCCGTGACGGTCAGCCCATAAGTCAACAAGACCTGTAACAGTGACTGCAGGCTATTTCACCCTTGTTCACTTTGCTGATCATACAATATAAAATGTTTTTTTTTTCTTCATATGTTTCATTTTATGCTTTCAAACCAGCATCTGGCTTCAAAATAAGCGATAAAAATCCGAGCCAGTTTCAGAGGTGAGAGCATTATTACGCACGTGTGAAATTTGGAAGTTAGGTGATTTGATCCATACCAAATTTTCAGATGATGACTGCTAATTTCAGGTACTGACCAGGACCCTTCATGGCGAGCA